AATTGATGCCCTACCAAATAGTTTATAAAGTACATTCGGCCGCTCATTTTTTTAATATTCTTATGCAAAAACAGACAGATACAATAAATATGACAGAAGCAATGACATTTATTTGACAGACCTTAAAACTTAACCATACTTTTATTGCAAATTTGAACTACTTTTAACGTATGTTAATTTTTTTGGAAATTTAACGTATGCGTTAATTTTATTTTTACAGAATTACAATTTATGTTAAAATCGTAAAATTTAACACCCGTTATAAATAAACGTATTGGATTACAGAATTATCACTTTAGACCGTTTTTAAGTGCATATTTTTCAAACCCTACTTATGACTGTAGGTAGATACCTACTATAAATTATATAAAAATATTTCTGCATGGAATTTCTTACTTTCGTTACTAAATAAATATTATCTGGAGCTTTTTCTATAAATTTATTTATCTGTTCTGAAGTAAATGTATTAGATTTTTTGCAGTGAATCCTGTCGAATTGCGCTTGAGAAATGCATTTAATTTAGAATAATTACTAATATTAATATCATTGTTTATAATAAGAGTGTTTTTTAACATTGAATCCATAATGTTGAAGGCTTGTATTTCTTCGACAATTCTGTAAAATAAGCCAGTAGAATATTTTCTGAAAAGGAGTTTGCTTTGTTATCAATACTCCACTTCATAAATATTGTGTACGCTGTTGAATATATTTTTGTTGATTTTTCTGGTAAAAGTTCAGAAATTGTTTGTTGTGCCATCCCTAATAACTGGGGAGGAGCACTTCTAATGTCATTGTCACTTTAAAAATTTCCAGAATCCATTATTTTGTTTAAAAAGCTTCGTAATAATTCTAATATTCAAAACACGGTCAGTTTAAATCAAATTTTTTGACGTTTATGTCAATTCACGGAAGTCATAGCACACCTTTGATAATGATGTATTAGGGAATTTCTGTTGGAATGAAATAAAATGAATTTAGCTCAAAGCCAATATCACACGAAATACAACGACCGTCTCCCCTTCAAAAAACAACTACTCCTTTAGCTAATACCAAAGAATACCTACCCAAGAAGCGAAACTAAATGAGCGATTCGTGGACAAAAAACTGCCAAGTTTTCTTAGTTTTTTAGAGGTGGTTTAACGTCAAATATAGCTGTCATTTATGTAGAGCAACGTTTGGTACATTATTATTAGCGTTTTGTGAAAATTGCAGCATAGTTAAGTAGTTGTATTTAACTAAGTACTAATTAGAAATTTGTATTACAAGAAAAAAATATACATTGCGTTATTCGTAAATTTCATTAAACGTTCTTGCATCTGGCTGTGAATGTTTTTTTTTTATTTCTAAAACAGTATTACCTATAATGATAATTTATGCTATTTTTTGTTTTTCAAACCATTCGAATTAAAACAGCAAATAAACAATAATACAAAACAATAATTAAAATATATGACAAACTCACTTCGAGGAACCAATTCACTGATACCAGGATGCAATCAAAATGCATTTACAGCTACCTACAGTACTTCTGAATATGTAACGTGTAGAGGGTGAGTTATCCCACGGCACTTAGGCCTCACTAGACCCATTGTGTATCCTCCTAAAATGATAGGCACCTCCTAGCTCGTGAGCCAGCCCACAGATTTAATGTAGTTGACAACGTCGCCAAGAGGTGCTTCTCTTATATCGGCCGGTGTTAGCAATACTCGCCGAAAAAGATCGTCTAATAAATGGAAGCGACTGGCAATCGTAGAGGATGTGTTCAATGGTCTCATCTTATTGTTCGCATCCCCTGCAGGGTGTGGATTCTGGCAGCCCCATGATATGGAGATGCCTCCGTGCTTGGCAATTACCAGTCAAAATGCCTGTGATCAGATGCATATTCTGTTTAGTCATAGTCAAGTATTTGTTTGTTGTAGTGTTGTCAGAATAACTTAAAAGTTCCCTGGTAACTCAGCAGTTTCTTGTTTCATCCTATATTTCCTTTAATTTCACAAGGGAATATTCTTTAATTAGGTCTGTCACTACTGATGTTATCAGTCCAATAGAAGGGCCAGGTCCAAAAGTATTTGGTTGGCCGCCTTCTTGGCTAGTGAATCGCAAGAAGGCTACCTTTCGATGTGGCGTCACCTTTGATCCATCTTAAGGTAACCACATTGTTAGATGGATACTCTTGCCAAATCTTCGTGACATTCTAGTACTAACCCTGAGTAAATTCGTAGTCTCTTCTGCGTAAGTAGTGCTTATCTGCTATCTGTATAGGTACGTGAGCTCCGTGAACTACATTGGCACTACTGCTCACAGCTCATTTTATGTTGAGATTTAAGGAATTGGAGTATATTCCACATTCTGAGCATTTTTGTTTTAGAACCGTAGATATGAATCATACCTGCCACTTCCGGCTTTTCTGTTTGTTCTGTTACAACTTCATATGGCATATGGAAGATATATATCGGTGAGATGAAGTTCATGTTCGCTTGAAACAGTGGGAGCGTATCGAGCTCCTCTTGCCAAAAGCGACGTCTCGCCTCGCCAGACGCCAGATCGTACATTAGGTTCTATTCCAACCGTGCAGAGGCATGTCATTGTCATCAAAGCAACCTCCTTGATGTAAATATCAAGGTGAGTGAGACTAAGAACGACTTACATGGCTCTGGTTGGTGTGGTTTTTATGGCTCCTGTTATGTTGAGACATGCTCTTATTTGAATTGGTTCTATTTTGCGGATACCTGTCAATTTATGAATTTTCGGTACCCAGACAACTGCACCGTATGTTAGCATAGGTCTAATGATGGCCATGTAAGTCCATATGACGACTTTGGGGGAGAAAACCCAGGTGCGCCCCACGGTTTGGCGGCATTGATCATAAGTAATGTATGCTCTTTTGAACAGGTGCTATCTCTAGGTACTTTACCTCTGTTGCAAAGTTTTGTTTTGTGTTTTAATTCCATTTTCATCCTTTTTCTTGAAAAAAGGATTATTTCTATCTTCTGTTCCATAATTGTTCTCAAATTTCCCTATTTGCAGAATGACCAGATCATCTGCTTTCGCTACTGTGTAGTGACTGTCATTATTGTACCCACAGTACTTATTTCGTTATTAAAATAATCTATTTGACATAATGAACATAGTAATAATTTTCTGTCTGTCATTGTTACTTTAGTATGTGTTTAATTCATATGAACCAAACGACAACAACTGATTAATTTTTATACGTTTCCCAGTGTATTAAATTCCCTTGCTTTGGTACATACGAAAACTCATTCAGTTTCGCATCTTGGGTAGGTATTCTTTGCTAATACCGCAACAGGCATTTTTCCGAAGGAAAGACAGCAGAGATAGAAATTAATTTTCAACAGTCTCTACTTTGATTTTGCTCACCAAGGAGAACATCATTCTTGGACCGGTTTCGTCCTTATTAGGACTCCTCAGCAAGAAATAGATAGGTTCTCAATTCCAGTCTCGAATGGAATTAACAAATGCTACACATTTCACCAGTATACCATAAAGTTGGTTATGAAGAGAATAAGAATTCAAGTAGTGAAATGGTGTCGCCATCTGTTCTTAGTAAGCAAAATTTCTATTGGGCATAAATATGATGTTATATTATTTTGTAGTTTGTGATTGGTTGATTTCATTATTCCATACTAATTGGAGAATGTTTACATTCTTCAACTAGTGGAAGAATGTATATCATACTTAAACTAAAAATGTATTAAGAATGAACTTATTATTACATCGTGAAGAATCAATTAGGCATTCCAAACAAATGAATTACCAGTGGGCAGGTTTGGTATATCTAAGGGTGGCGACATATGGTGTATTCTATCTACTTTACGTAAAATCATGAATAATGGATTACATTTAAATATTTTGTGTCAAACACAATAAAAATAATATTTAAAAAACCCACCTATACATTTCTTCATAAATTGGCAGGCTTGGCAAGTACTACTTCGAATAAAAATAGCGTCCAAGTTGCAAGACTATGTCGCTACCCCCTTAAATATACAAGAATTTCCCACTGGCACCTATTGTTTGACAGGTCGTTGGAATGCTTAATTATATTTTTCATAAAATCCAAACCAAAAATTGACCCGTGTCAGAAAGTGTCAGAACCGGAGCTGTCAAACTTGGCAACGCTGATTGATTAAGCTAATTAAAAGAGGGATTTCCTACCTTGGGGGAGTAGATGTTGATTACAAAATTTAGCGCGGGGAAGAAGGAAAGACTCTCTAGAGTAGTAATTGCTCGGAGCTATATGCAGCTAAATTTACTTTTCTTTTCTTATATTCATCAGAAGAAATACTGCAAAATGAAATATATATTACTGTTAAAACGTTTTCTAAAGCAGTAATCAATCTCTAATCTCTACTAATTAACATTTGTAAAACAAATTATATTTGTTTCAAAATACAAAGTTTCCTACTTTAAATAACAATGCAAATAATATCTACGCAGATAAATAACATTGATTCCATAAAATGTTTTGAAGTAAACTTTGATGAAACCCTACGTTTTAAAACCCATTGCGAAAATTTGTCATCTTTATTAAATTAGAAATCTCTAATTTGTTTTAAAATTCCATCATTTACATCATATTTATTACGCTGATATTCATATTATATGGTATTTGTGTATGGGGCGAGTCACCATTAAAAAGGGGATTATAAGATGTTCAAGAGATTCATGTCGACTTTTAATCAAGGAATTTAAAATATTTACTCATTATGCTTTGTATATCTTAATACAAAAATCAGCCAGGTGCCAGGGCTCAAACAAAAAAAAATATATTGCGGATCAAAAATCAAAGATACAAAATTTACTAATAATACCTCTAAGTTATTTACATTGATATATCCCCAGAATTCTTCAAAGTTGGAATGAGAACTAGAATAAATTATTTTGTGAAAAACAAAATAAAATCGAAAATAATGTAAATCTTCGACTCCAAAGAGTGCTCTCTTTATTAAGACCAAAAAAAAAACTTAAAAACTTACCTGGACAAAATGTTGAACGCTCTCCAACAGCATTCCGTACATCTTAAATTATTTTATGTGTAAGCTTTTACTCACTACAACAATTTACGATCAGCCTTTCAAAAACTTCCAACCCCACGATTTCCGACCTTTCACAATTTACTCAGAGCCTCTCTCTAACTGGCGCGTAACACGTACGAAAATTACCAGCAGGCTGGATCCTCTGGGAAAATGAAACGGAAAGCCGTGTGAGAAAACTGGAGCGGGAAAGTTGGGAGAAAAAAAAAACGAACGGGCAACAGGTTGGAAGCAAGCGCGACCAATGACAAGAAAAGCGATGAAAAATATGACGAAGGCTCAACGGATTCGTGGCGTTGTTTACATAAATCTACGTGTGGTTCCGAGTTTATTATTATTGCAAGAGGTCGACTTGAATACAAATTATGTAATAATAAGGCCAATTTTTTTAAAAGAAAAAATATTTCGCAATTTTATCGTATGATTATGAAACGAGAGCCAGGAACTAAACAAATAATAATAATATAAGACTGATTGGACAAAAATGTATATCATTTTTTGGTACAAAATTGGACAAAATACCGGAATTATATAATTAAATTAAATTATATTATTTATTTTTCACTGCGCCGCAAAATTAACGCATAATTGAAGGGCTCGGGTGAAAAAAGTGATATCTGACTATAAATTAAATTAAAAAATACAATTAAGAGAAAAAAAGTTAAAATTAAGTCAAATAAGTTTTAGATTAATAAATGCATTTTAAGTGTTGTAAATCCATCTGTAATATTTCATTTTTACTCCAGTGCATTCGTACAGATTGCCTTAAATTTATTAAAAGAAATGCCTGTAACCTCAAGGTTCAATTGATTTATTACCCTCAATGTTCTTTCAATAGGTAAATGCATATCATAGTTTGTATTGTGAAATGGAACATGGAACATATTTAATTGCCTAAGAACTCTATTAGGATTATTGAAAGAAATCATTTCTAAGAGTTCCGGGCATATGACTAGACCATTTAATATTCTATAGATAAAATTTAAATCTGATATAAGTCTCCGGTACTTAAGTTGGCTCATATTCATTTAATTTAAAATCCTAGTATAATTGTGATCGGTTACCCGAATATTTATTTTAAAGGCACTTTTAGATTTTAAATATTATACCGTATCAAGACAAGGCACGTAGTTACTCTTCGCCCGAATAAGAATAACTGCTTGGACATGTCAAACGGAATACGTCTATATTATCTAGTGCCATATATGCACAGTGGCGCGCTAACACGGCCATCCTGAAATTGGGACGCTCTCGGCCCAATAATAATTATAACTCGATTTATAAGAATAATATTAGCTTTATTCCTAAAACATTTACAATAACGTAACTATAATAACTTATTAAGACGACTCGGCTTCATCCTGACGATTATCGTTCTGAAACAAAAGAAATCCCTATCAACAGAGGTTTTCTTTGTAGAAATATAAAATTCCTCATGACACTTCAAGGTTAAAATAACCGACCAGCAAATCATAATGTGACATTAAGGTCCAAGCACTCCAAGGCAGAAACGTTGCCGGCCCGAAAACCAAAATGTACATCAAGATCCAGGTACCCCAAGGTTAAAATAACCCGTCATATTTCTTTGCAATCAACACACAACCATAATATATCATTAAGGTCCAAGCACCCCAAGGCATAAACGTTGCCGGCCAGAAAACCAAAATGTATATTAAGGTCAAATTACTATGAACATCTGAAACTAGATAGTCGATCAGAAAACCAAAATGTTAACATCAAGGTCCAAGCACCCCAAGGCATAATCGTTGCCGGCCAGAAAACCAAGATGGTCCAGGCACCCCAAGGCATAATCGTTGCCGGCCAGAAAACCAAAATGGTCCAAGCACCCCAAGGCATAATCGTTGCCGGCCAGAAAACCAAGATGCAACATGAAGGTCCAGATACTCCAGGACTAAATAATTTCCATCGCTAACACGGCAAATTAATACAGTAATAAACATACCTTGACATTTTCATCCATATCAAAATAACTTTCTAATATCTCTGCGCATTCGTTCGGGAACCATTCTTTGGTCCATAGCCGCATTTGACTTGGAACAGCTACTGTCATTCGTATGGACTCGGAAACGTCGTCAACTCTTCGAAGTTCATATCTGCTATTTGGTAATTTTTTTGTTATTTTATAAGGTCCTACCCAACCAGATTCCAACTTTTTGGGTTTTAAAGCTTCTCTTGAAATCAAAACAAAATCTCCCACATTATATGATTTTGTGGAAGTTGATGAGTTCCTTTTAGCGTAGTTATCCTGAGCAGTTGCGTTTTCTGAGAGACGTCTATTAACAAACTGTCTCCATTTTTCACGTTCCATTGTGACTAGCGGTAATTTATCATCTGAGGCATTTTCAATGATCCGGCTTATCTCTGGTAGCCTGTTGTCACAACCAAAGAGAATTTGAAGTGGTGTCCTCTTAGTTGTCTTGTGAACTGTTGAATTGATTACCAGTTGAATTCTAGATACCATCGAACTCCATTGAACGGTACAGTCGGCCTGAACTCTTAGCAAGTTAGAAACAAATCGCATGTAACGTTCCACTTGCCCATTGGATTGGTGTACATAGGGCGTAATGAAATGCCACTCGATGTCCCATTCGAGATTATTTTGAATGGCTTTTAAAGAAGAAGCATTGTCTGTGATAATACGAGCTGGAGTGCCAACCAAAAACACAATATCCTGTACGCAATCGGCCAAATCTTCAGTTTTCAAGCTCTTAACAGCATATAAAAATGTATATTTTGAGTATGCATCGACTGCTATAAACACATGAGTGAACCCTTCTTCAGTTTTCGGCAAAGGTCCAAGAAGATCGACATGAATGGTATGAAAAGGGATATCTATCTTCGGAATGGAGTGAATTTCGTTGAAAACTCGACGAGGCTGGCGCTTTCGGGTAAGGCAGGTGAGGCATGAGTCAATATATTTTTTTACAAATTGACGCATTCGAGGAAACCAAAAATGTGAAGCTATACTTAAAATGGTTTTATCCAGACCAACATGAGCTTGCCCATCGTGATATTCCTTAATTAACGAATACCTGGCATTTTTGGGAACAAAATATTGAGTAACTTTTTCGGAGTTAATATTACTCAAATGACACAGGGTACTTCCAATAATACAAAACTGATTTTTATCTATTTCACCATTTTGTAATTTTTGCTTTAATTCGGTTGTTTCGCTATCTGTACTTTGTTGAATAAATAACCACCCAGACGGCATTAAGTTTTGACTACTTGAGTCTATTTCTTCGACAAATGGTATTTCAGAAATTTTGGTAATACAAACGCTTTTAAAAGTATCTTGACTTGGAATTGGTGGGTTTCGACTCAAATAATCAACATAAGCCATCTGGTCTCCAGATTTATGTAAAATAGTAAATTCAAAATCCTGAAGGTAAATCCACCAACGACTTACCCTTGGCACAAGGTTACGTTTATGTTGCGAATTTTTTAGAGCATTGCAATCAGTGACCAATGTAAAAGGCACACCTACAAAATAATGTCTAAAATGTTTTAAAGCATTTACTACCGCCAAAGTTTCAAGTTCGTATGAATGATATCGAGATTCCACATCTGTGGCTGCTTTGCTGAAATAGGATACTACTTTTTTTTTACCATCATGATTTTGAAAAACAATAGCTCCAAACCCACGACTACTAGCATCAGTATGGAGTTCTAATGGTAGATTTGGATTAAAAATTGCCAACACAGGTTCTTCAGAAAGAATTTTAACAACTTCATCAAAAGCTTTTGAATGTTCATTAGTCCAAGTCCAAGTTGAATCTTTCTTTAAAAGATTTGATAGTATTTTTGTTTTAACAGAAAATTGTGGTATGAATTTTCTGAAATAACCAGCGAGTCCCAAAAATTGACGAACCTCCCTGATATTATTTGGATGTTTCATCAATTTCAAGGTCTCTGTTTTAGAAGGACTTGGTTTAACAATCCCGTTTACTATTAAACGACCCAAATATTCAACTTGTTCTTGAAGAAATTTGCATTTATTTATATTTATGTAAAAACCATGGGACTTTAATGTTGTTAAAACTAACCGTAAATGTTCAAGACCTTGTTGCTTTGTTTCTGACGGAATAAGGATATCATCCATATAAACCAACGCAATACCCTTTAGAATTTCCGCCTGTAGAGCAGTGTTGATTGCTCGCTGGAAAATAGAGGGGGCATTAGCCAAACCAAAGGGCATTCGTAAATATTCAAATTGGCCATCTGGAGTAACAAAAGCAAGTTTTTCTACTGAATCAGGATGTACTTTAATTTGATGGAACCCAGCGGCCATGTCAAGAGTAGTGAAATATTTTTTATTACTTAGCTGATCGATTTGATCATCAATTCGGGGAAGAGGATACCGATCTTTTACTGTGATTCGATTGAGCGCACGAAAATCACAAACCAAACGAGAATCCCCATTTTTCTTCTTGACAAGGAAGGCAGGGCTTGCGTAAGGGGAATTAGACGGCCTTATAATTTCGTTTTTAATTAAATCGTCGATAAGATTTCGTACAGTCTCTCTTTCCACCATTGAGAATCGATAAGGGCGAAATTTGATCTCTGTATCAGATGTGAGACGAATTTTAAATTCCCCTGTTGTGATAGGAGTGGGTATCTTATTTCCAGAAGAAGAAATGTCGTTAAATTCTAGAAGTAACTCTTCCAATTGCTTTTCAACGAGATTTGAAGGAACATATTCCAAAATAGGTGAACTTTGAGTAAATTTTAAAGACATTCCAGGAATGTTTATAAAATCCAAACCAATTATTGCATCACAAGGAATATAATCATTTGAAACAATATGCATTTTAAGAGGAAATTTAAATTCTTTTTTAAGATTTATTTCAACATTGACTACACTCTTAGACGTAAAGGTGCGGTTACCAACGCCTTTAATAGTCATATGTTCGTAAATTGGCAAAGAATACATATTTTTAACAGCAGATTGACGCAATAAAGACACTTGAGCACCAGTGTCGATTAAAACTTCATAATCGTGATCATCAATATTAAGTGAAAACAAATTTAAATCTGACGAAATAGGTGTAGGAGAATAGCACAAATTAATCTTCTTATAATGATTACCTTTTTGCTTTTTTCTAGCAAAAC